AAAAATTTTAGTTGACTTTGGACATTTCACGGTAAGTACAAAGTAACAAGGAAATTTTTAATTATAAATCTGGTAATTGTGGCCTGTTTATTGGGTTATCGTTAGAAAAAAAAATCCCCCCCCCCCCCCAATTGGGGCTTAAACGGTAAAAAAATCATCTAGAACCACAATTTCAGCTGCTCATGTTTCAAGCTGTTTTTGGTTTTTGAATCCACTTCTCGTCTGGCAGAACATCTAGCAACAAGGGTGGATTCATTTGCACCATACGCGTACAGCTGTCGCAATTGCCCGTTGGTGTTTTTTAGTTTTTAAACGCAAAAACAATAACAATTCCGGTGGGCAAATGCGACAGCTATACGCGTATTTTTTTCAAATGAATCCAATCCAATTATTCACAATTCATATCCTTCCAAGCTACCTTTAGAGTCTACTTATGAGAAAACAACAGTCAGCTGCAACATTTATCGGAAATAGAGTAGCGATGCCGTAGGCCTAGGGCGGTACTCACACCGAGGGTACTGTTTCTCCCAATTCGGACTGACCTAGGCCGGTGAGAAAACACTTTTATTTTTTTTCCTACTGAGATTTAAAAGTTTCAGGAAAATTTTTACCTCAGCGTCCATTCTGTGTGTGTTAATTGAAGTAGGACGTGTCCGCGAAGAATTACTTTAAGATTAGTTCAATCGAGCGGGATGAAAACTGCACAAAGGCGTTATAAAAAGAACTAATTACACATACCAATCTTAAGATTTTGAATTGAATTCGAACAAAAGAAGGCGATGTGAGTAAAAGTATGTAACCAAGAAATGAAAACGGCGATATAAACCGACTGCTGGTAAAAAGAAGCCCGTTGTTTATTTTAAGATTGAAAGCTAAATGCAATCATTGAAAACAACCTTTCTGATAAGTAGAAAACTAGCGAGGCACAATTGAAGAAAAAACGGCAGAATATAGATTCAGACAGCAAAAATGGCCTGGAAAACAAAAACTACAAACAAAGCAAAAATATCGAATAAATGGTGCATAAAAGCAAGATTGCAGAACTTACAGCGCGGTTTAATATAGAGCTAGTGAAGCGAAATCACTAGCCGCCTGTTTTGCTTTACTTTAGCGGTGTTCCTTGCTGACTTGCTGGGTTCTCCCTTCAGATTTTTTGTCTCAATAATAAAATTCACTTTTTCCTAGCTAATGCTAATAATAGCGCAAGTTTTAAAAGAAAAATGGTTTAAAAATCACGGTTTTTGCTCATTCACAAACAACAAACAAACTTACGAATGAAGCTGCCAACGATTTCGCTCGGGTTAACAGGCAAGATCGCAAAATACCCGGCCCGCTCTCGGAACCAATCAGATTGCAAGATTAAGAGGATTCCGCCTGCTCGCAAGCTTACGATAGTACTTTCTCTTGCGGAGCAAATTAGTATGGGAAATCGCGTGATTTCGAGTGCAATTTGGGATAAATCAGCACAAGTAAATTTTTCAAAGACTAACAAAATTGCACGAGCCTGTAGGGCGAGTGCAGTTTGTGGTCTTTGAAAATTTACTAGTGCTGTTTATTCCAAATTGCACGAGAAAAATCATGTGATTACTTGTTAATAATATACATCCAAAAAAAATTTCACTTGCGCTTTTCCTCTTTTACATGTCACCGCGCACCGTTTTTCATAGCTCCCTGTTTCCGCCTACAAATGACAACCTCGACCAAGATTGGTCAAAATTTTGACAGGTCAACAATGACATTGATGGATAGAAACGTAGCAGCTAGAAGTTTGTTTATCGAAAACTGAAGCCTTTTGTCATTTTGCGTTTTTCACTATTCATGTTTTTCCACTGCCGCCACGGAAAAAAATAGAACTGCTAAGGAGATTCCTTTGTTGTGCTTTGTTTATTTGGGTTTTGGTTGAGGAAAGCGTCGCAACTGTGGATTCATCGATGGCTGTTTTTGGAAGAACTTTCATGTAGGCTTTAATTTGCCGAAGAGTAACGGAAATAACTAAAGCGTTTCTAACCTTTCAGGAGTTGCATCTCAGAGGTGAGTTTCAGTTATTGTATTTTTTCATTTTTTGGTCTCGTTTAACTGCGGGCAAATTATTTTAAGTTTCTTACGCGGTGACTCGTTAGATAAGGGACCGATCGTTTATTACGTCCCGGGGGGGGGGGGGGG